AAACATTCAGAAGTTTTCACTTTATACTTATTAACAAAAAAATTCCTAAAGTATACCTATATCTAGGACGTATCTGGGCGATGTCCCCCCTTAACTTCAGGAAAGTTTAGAAAGAACGCGCACAAGAACTGGGCTGGACAACGGTGACGCAAGCCTGACGTAGCCGCGGAGACGATTGTTAGTCACGTAATGCGCGTCGCACGTTCGCTCGGGCAGATTTGCGCGGCCGATACACGGAAATTGGAACAAACCGAACCGCGTGTTACGATTTAACCCTTTGAGGACGAATATTAGAATACTCGTGACGTAGGGATTTTATATTTAGAATTGAAAGTTGTGGGTAAATAGTTTAATTATGTAAATAATGCAAAATAAGTGTATGGAGAATCGAGTTTCGAGCTTCGAAATTTAATATACAAGTAATTACTTTTAAAGAACATTTTGATTTATGAATTGTAATTAGAAAGGACTAAGGTATTAGCAAGGGTAGCTATTATAATTTTTTGTTTTTATATTTTATTTCTTTGTGGAAGAGGTTTTTGATATTTTCATGGAATCATGTCTCGAAAGGGTTAGTAATTGTACCGATGAATAATTCATTTTTCTTTGAAAAGTGAAAGTGGTGTATGGGAATCGAGGGATTCCACTTTTGCATTAATGTTGTGATTATTTTTATTTAAATTTAAATTCGAATTTAATGATAAATCAAATTTCTCTAGACAAATCTAAAGAATTGCATATTTTCTAGAAGGATGTAGAAAAATTATACATTTCCCACCAAAACCTAAATAAAACTCTCCCATAAAACTCAACAAGGATGTTATTTATCATTCATCAAAAATATCACAAGGACATTATCCCCTATCATATAATGAAAAATATCACGAAAACATTCATACCTATCATATCATCAAAAATATCCCAAGAACATTATTCCTTATCATATCATCAAAAATATCACAAGGACATTATCCCCTATCATATAATAAAATATATCACAAGAACATTATTCCCTATCATATCATCAAAAATATGACAAGAACATTATCCCCTATCATATAATGAAATATGTCACAAGAACATATTACTTATTCACCAGTGTGCTATACCATAGATGACTACCATCCCCAATCATCCTAACAGCGGGACCCGAAAACGTGTCTTCATCTCATCCATGAATTGCATCGCGCGTATGCATATGTATCTATGGTAGTAGATATCAGTGCCCGAAATGTCTCGCGGTGGATGAAGAGAGGCGTTTCTGGAATCTCTCGGCCGAAGTTACGGCCACACGTACATAACGTAACCGGTTGGTCCGCGGCACTCACCTATGGTCCACGAGGCCAGAACTGGGATTTCTACTGTGACACCTGATGACGGTGTCGTGAGTCAGTCTGCTGCCGGTCGCCTGCAACGGGTCTGTGGTCTCGTCGGCGCCCGTTCCCGCGGTCTCCGCGTACAGCCCCGTCATAGCGTACATGCTCTCGTTCCTTCGATGCCCGGCATGGTAATTGCTGCCAGACTCGGACCTGGAAACGTGCGAGAGAACGCGAAGGTCAGCGAGCAATTTGGAACCGATCCATTAGTTCCACCTCTAGCCCACTCGTTCATCCCTGCCTCTATCCCTCCCACCACCACCTCATTAGCCGCGAGTAATATGTATATATCCGATAATCGAATATATGGGCCGGATTAAAAGTGTAACGGGTGTCTGGTTTTCGATTAACATTTGGGTTAATTGAACGTCGGGCTTCCGCGTTTAATACTGCCGGACGTTTGGCTGGGCTCTGCGTGGATTAAGGATTTTATTGTCAGTATTTGCTTATTTGTTTGTGTGTTTATTTATTCCCTTTTGTTTATGTATTTATTTATGTATTTATATTTATTTATACATATATTTATTTTCATTCGTTTATGTATTTATTTATATACTTATATTTATCAGTACATTTATTTATTTCTCTTTATTCATGTATTTATTTATGTATTTATTACATATATTTATTTTCATTCGTTTATGTATTTATTTATATACCTATATTTATCAGTACATTTATTTATTTCTCTTTATTCATGTATTTATTTATATAGTGATATTTACATATATGTTTGTTTTGGAGTGATTGAAGTGAGGAAAGAATCATTAAATTACGAGGCTGGATGAAATATATGTGGCAGGGATTGAAAAGCTTCCGAAAATAACTGTTTGAAATTGTTACACATCGGTACCGACTCAAACTGTTATGAAGAATCGAAAAATAATAGTTGTAAAACTGTTTCAGGACTGATATAACATCCAAAGAACCGGAACCATAACCGATAACTGTTTTCAACCTCTGATAATGTATAATTATTATTATAAAGAATCTAGGCAATTAATTCTATACAGAATTAATGAGTTGTTCAAAAAATACATATGTAATTCTTTGTACACAAATTATAAGAGATTTAACGCGATTTTTCTTATTTTGGTCGCATAAAGAAGTAAATTTATTTGATATTTTCTCAATGAAAATGCCTTTAAGGTTTTAATAATTATAAAACGCATTATATTGATGTACCTGGTAGTATTAATAATAGCTTTGGCGGACTATATCACATTTCAAATATTTTTGGTGTTTGCTTAAATGCATCTACGCATCTTCTTCAGTGGAGTATCGGTTAAATTTGAAAATTTACTTTACCCGCGCTGTGTCAGAATTTATAAATAAATTTTGAGTATACCGTGTGCATTAATATTTAATCTACCGAGCTTCCGACGATGTAAGTTCACGGGTTCAATAGGCTATCGATTATTCCAAGTTTACGATTTATCTTTGTTTCTTAAGGAAATTGTAACTGGTGTAATAAAGCACATTATGTGCGCACTGGTTTTGTGATATTTATATGTATCATCTAATCTATTACATAATAATATTGTATAATACTATTTTATGATCTAATCTATTCGTATAAATCATCCACGTGTTGTTTACTCTGGAATTATCTGTAGGTAATAACATAATTAAAAATGTGTCATTAATTCTACGTAAATATTATTACAATATTTAGTCTTTTTGTGAAAAGTATGGGAGGTTAAGATTTGTAGTGTACAACTGGAAGTACTATGCGAAAGACTGAGTGAAAAATAAAAAATAAAATTTTTCAAATCGGAACTTCATTTTCGTGAAAATTAAATTAAAAAATTTAGAGAACGTGAGCTGTTGAATAAAAGATAGACCAAATGGAAAAATATTATCCCAGTTTACCAATTTATTTTCGTAATTCAGAAGTAACAAAAATAAATTCATCCTAATCAAATGCTTACTTATTAAAAATAATTATATTATCAAGTTCAAAACAAAGGTATTCTATTTATTAAATTACTACAAGTATTTAATTTTCTCATTCAACTAAAGGAACCAGTTTCTAAAAAATGTTGAAAAACCTGTGAAAATCACAAAAATATTTAACACTAGATTTACAGACCGAGTGAATCAGTCTCATATTGAATTTTACAAACATTATTTGTTAAATGTTTGAGTTAACTTTAATTGACGCAGTTACACAAACACGTGTCCTAATAGTCTACTGTTAAACCTCTAATTTCCAAGATCTAAACGAACGAATATTAATTTTTCGAAGGACAACAGTACAAACTGTACACTAAATCTCTATAAATCTAGTGTTAACAAGTCGTTCAAAAATTACTCTTAAACTACAAAAGACAAAGTTGAATTTATATAAAAAATGTAGAAAATCCTGTTCGTTACTTTCGCCCAATTACCGTTGAAGAAATCATTCAGAGAAAGCGATGACTCTACATGTTATTCCCGGAATCAGCATCCCCTATCCTCGATATCGTGTGCGAGCATAGAGGCAGGTAATAAAATACGAATGCCATGGGACGGGAAGTTTGTTACGTCGTTGCAAACGCAATTTCTTGGTTCCCGTCTCGTTAACGAAGAAGGGAGAAGACAAACAGAATCCTGGAAGCCCCTGGACTCGGGAACCTGTACTTACCTAAACATTACACGTAGAGAGAACCCCCCAGTCGAAGGATCATATTACTTCGCGGGGTAACAAGAGCCTTCTTCCCGTGTTATTTGAATTTTTATCCCAACCCTCATCGCCCCATCGCCACCCTACCGCCTAGAACAACCCTAGGTAGAAGTAACGTTGAACAGGAAGAAATTGCGTATGCATGTCTGCAATTTCTCATGATTTGAATATTAATCCGTCGCAGTCGACGATATTTTCCGACTATAAATATTTGATATCCTTCTATGAGATATCAATGAATATTTTTGTTCAGCTAATACACAGGAGAATTTTGCATAAATTGAAACGGAAGTATTTCGTTTCGATGGTCCATGTGTTCCATGATACATTTCTATGAAATTTGATATTGAATATTAGATATTATAATTTTTCTAGGTTGTGTCAAATAACGACTCACAGTCGGCTCTAGAGTGGAAAGGGTTCAGTTCTTTTTTCAGCGGTTGGGTTTCGGAGTAAAGTGTGAATGAGTATTGTGCTCGAATGTTGGATAAAGGATAATGACTACTGTTTTGAAATTTTACGTGAATATATTAGGTACCACTGTGTTTACATTTTAAATAATATATTGCATTTTATATAGATATTTAATTTTATGTAAATATATTGCTACTGTGTTTAAATTTTTAATTAAAATATTGTTACTAGCTTTTAATTTGATATTGTCAATTATATTTTAAAAACATATTTCTATTGTTTTTATGTTTTATATAAATTTATTACTATCAAGGTAAAATTATAATAATTTCGATTATTTTTTGAAAATATGTAACTGATTTCGATGGCGTCGAATTATAAAAAAGAATGAAATACAAAAGAAATGTAGTGTGGTTGTTTCTTATTTTTGGTAGGATTAGTAGAGCATTATTTCATTTGTATTGATTTGTTTGTTCTTTGCTATAGTAAACTTATTCTTAGCAGAGTTTTATTGATTTCCTTTTGTCTACTTTTTACACCTTGAGAGTAGTTTGAGAGTGCTGCTTGACACACCTTTAATGGATTATGGAACGTTAACTATTTTATTGCATCGTAAGGGTCATAATATTACGCCTGATAATTAGGTGATTACATTTGTGTGAGACATTAATTCAGCGAGTAAAATCATAAAATAACCGGAAAGGACAATTTTAGAGAAATATAAATTAATACAAAAGATTGCACAGTCTATAGAAACATGTTTTATAAAACGTAATCAGTAACTGTGCACGATGAAACAACATCATCGTTAATAAACTATTACAAAAACAAAAGAATTCGATACTCATTCTATATTTACATTTGCTCTAAATTTATATCCAAAAATAATAAATAACATTTAAATTTATCGAATTCGTTCAAAACTCTCATCACGAGTCTGACGCGACATTATGCGAGTTAAAAATTATACTAATACAAAAATGAGAGAAAAAAGTAATGAGGCAAAGGGTTAACCGGAAGCATCCCCAGAGGAAGCTGTTTCCTAGGGTTTTTTTCCGGCCAAGACGGCTGTCGGGGTTTTAAGTGGGACATGGGTGGGTAAGTAAGAAATTTCGTTCGAGGCGAAAATCACCTTTTGTGCCCGAAACCGCCGCCGCTCTCGTTCCTCTTGTGGCCACTTTCGGATCGTTTGTGGCCAAAGGCACTGGATATGCTCTCGGCCCGTTTGTGACCGCTCTCCGAGCGTTTGTGGCCGATGAAACCGCCGCCGGACTCGGTGCGTTTGTGGGCGAACATGCTCGAGCTCGAGCCGTTCCTCTTGTGCCCGCTGGTGGACGCCATTTTCTTCCTTGCCCCGCCTCGATCCGTCCGTTTCGCGACTTCCGCTTCCCTCCTATAAAGCTCGCTGAATTACGGCTTTACCGGCGACATTTTTTCGCTCCGTGCTTCCGTTGCCTGCGAACAGAGACACGAGAAATCTCGTTAGAATCGAAACGATCGGGACAACCTGATTACTTTCGGTTTCATCGGGAAATTGAATGGCGAGGGTACCCATGTCACTCGGTGGTCTTATTCGGTTCGAAAAGTTTCGTCGCTTTTATCTTTAAGATTTAGGAGTAATAGGAAGCAATTAATTTGATGGGGCATTTTTGGAATATTAGAAATATAGAAACAATTTGATGGGAGAATTTGGGAATATTAGGAATAAAGAAAAATAATTAATTTAGTGGAACATTTTTGGAATATTCAGAATAAACAGGATAATAATTAATTTGATGTGAGATTTTTTGGAATATTAGGGATAAAAAGGAAACTAATTAACGTGATGGAACATTTTTGGGATATTAGGAATATAGAGAAACAATTAATTTAATGGAAGATTTTCGGAATATTAGAGATAAAGGCAATGCACAAACTGTGCAATGTATAAATTAATCCCTTAGCTACGGCAGAATTTTGCGTCAACGCGCATTCCTAAGAAACTCTATCGAAACCATCAAAACACCGCATTGAACTAAATTAAACCAATATAGAATAATCACATTCATACAATATATAACTAACGGAAGATGTAATTGTTGAATTAGAATTCACTTACGCCTGATCTAAGCAATCTTCACTGCAATTATGGTCAATAACATTTTACGGGCGCCTGAAGGCGCCAATAGCAGCCAAGAGGTTAATGAAACGTAATTTATCGAAATCGACAGTACACAATTCGATGAAGTTTAATTTTACCGAAGTGAAACTTGTCTTCAAATTTCGTTAAACAGGAAAGCAAGGAAAGACTTTTTATCTAACCCATCACAAATCAATATTTATACACACTATAAATTATACCACGAACGTTAGGTTGTTTTGTTATGCAATAATAGTTTCAATACTTTAGTTGTTCAGTGTGAATCGACGAATTAGGCACCAGCAGTGCCGCAGTATAGGGTGTAATGTGATTTTCGAGTGAACTCGATAAGCGAACGTGTCAAAGGGCGACAGAACCCGCGGCCATCGCATTGAAAAAGGAAATCCGTGTGTGCCGACACCATTTGATGCAATCGTGCGTCCAATTGACAACTCTGTGTTCAACAGTTCAACGAACCGGCTTCTGTAAGGTCAGGGCCGTTCAGCAACGCGAGTTCGAGCGCTCTCGAGCGGAATCGCTCTGTCGTCTTCGTTAGGGGCAGAGTAGGATAACTGTATCCATTCCTCTCCCGTGACGCCATTTGTTTGTCCGTTCTGAGGAAACTGTCGCGTGATAATTACAGCGAACCAGGAAACAGTGACAAACAATGCCGCGCGTTTTTCTTCGAACCGCGGGCACAATGCAATTGCGAATGGTATTAACCCCTTGCGGCACGAAGCGCAAAAGCGACGATTCTCGTGAAACGGAGCAATCGAAAAAAGGAATTACAACAATGGAATTGAACGAACGTGATGGTCTTCAAGAAATGAAAATTTGGATTGAAAAGAGGACGATGTAGAATAAAGATGGCGTCCCATTCGCCGAAAATATGTAGAGGAACGTTTTCAATGATTTCAGTAGATATGCTATCATTTTAACATTTCGAATTTTTCTTATATTCTTAAAGTATGCAGATTTTGTACATTGTAAATGAAAAATTGTGCATTGTAAATAACCATTGAATTGTTCTAATATAATTTAAAATCAAAAAATTAATTTTATAAGTACACTATTGGAAGTATATCAATTTATTTTGTAGAAATTATAAACATATTAACCGTCCCGATGAGTGTCTATTCTTGACTGTTGACTTTGGTCTTATTACAAGAAGTAGCAATTTCTTTAATGCATTTACTTTGTGCTGCTACATAACCGCGATCTTGTAGATTTCGAACTTCATACATTCAGAAAGTCGAGAAAGGAGTTCAAAAAGTACCATGAAAAAGCGATTTGAAAATCGAAGATCTGATGTATAAAACTATTACACTCGCTAATAAAATAATGAAATACAATTCAAAATATATTCCTTCTTAACATATTTCCAAACTCCATTGCATCCTCACAATAAATCATCAGCAAATGGAAAGAAACTCACGTAAGCGATGCTGAAACTGTGAAAGATATCCTACATTCAGAAGACCGAGAAAGAAATTCCAAAAAGTACCGTGAAAAGGTGGTCTCGAATCCGAAGATCCACCTTAAAAATAGATCGAGGAGGATACCTATGTGTCGGGCGAATCAGGGCCGGCGGTCGCCGCGAGTACGGCCGTCCGAAATGATCTCAGCTTCGTGGCACGGAAGTTGGCCGCGGGAACCCGCCAGTCCGGAACTTTAATTGGCGCCGGATTAATTAATGCACCGTCGCGATCCCCGCGCCTAGGTGGTCGGGAACGGGACGAGCGCGCGCGACGTCCCTAGCCGCGTTTACGTAACGCGTTAATTGCGCAACTTGATTCGAAACTTTCGTCGCGGCGTGGCCCGTTAGCTGTTGCGACAAAGGCAAGATTTCGAGTACGGTGGCCGGATCGGCTGCTCTCTCTTTCTCTCTGTTACATGCAATAATGGGAAAAGATGTCGTGAGCCGAATGGGACATCGCACAGCGCCGCTTGCAAAATTCGCGGGCTACAAAACGCGCAGAACGAACCGAGCGGAGCAAGGAAAAAAGAACTGTTCTGTTAACGCTAATCGCTGACGTCCTGTTTACTTTGAACAGACCCGTGCTCGATTTGAATTATGTAAAAGAGTATTTTTAACAAGTGTCTGTGTTTTCGAACGTCTATGAATAATTGTAGATTGGAGACGTAGGTGTTGATTTTTTGAAAATTTTAGTTTGAGAGGTGTTTAATTAATTGAACATATTTTATTGTAGTGCCTTCTGTTCTTTGAACGTAGGATGTAATGGTGAATATTTTGAGCAGACTCGTACCCGATTTGAATTATGTAAAAGAGTATTTCTGTATTCCCGAATGTCTAAGAATAATTGGGGATTCGAAATTTAGGTGTTGATTTTTTGAAATTTTTAGTTTAAGAGAAGTTCTGTGTATGTTAAGTATAGGATTAGTTTGATGACTTCTCGTTAAGTTAGTTGTAAATACATTTTATCTTGATGCCTTTCATTTCTGGATGTAGGAAATAATGGTGAACATTTAGAGAATCGAAGTGACGTTTCATTTATTTATAATGGCACTACATTAATTTGTGAAACTCGTGTAATAATTACAATCCTCCTACATGTAAATAGTACTAAATGGTAATCAATACTCTAGTCTGACGGTTCGCATGATTGATACTAATTGTAAGTATAAACATTGAAATTAATGTAATTACATTTCATCTTTAGTGAGTGATTTTATAAACATTCAAATGACAATTTTATTTCATTGATTTCAAATATTGGTTTTTGCAATACAGGTATACAGCAAATAAACTAGGGAAGAATAGTAGCTTAACCACTTGCCCTGTGATTCCTTTCTGAACTGTGATCGATGTAACTACTTTATTATTAATAACTCGTTGCAAATAAGAGAAAATTCCAGTCTTATTCTACGTCAACGTGTGCTGTAAGGTATAATAATTGATAACAGAAGAATAATACATAATTTTCATTCAAACAAATCGAATAATATTTATGTTTGGACAGTAGGACAAGGTGTTAACGAACATAATTGTTTGCTTTTATTTCAATTCCCAGACTAATTGCTTAATACTAAAGCTACCAAACAATTCAATTGATTTTTTAAAATTTCTCTATAGGAACTCCAAGAGTGCATTTATTGAGACCTTAATCGATTTACAATTCAGTTTGCGTATTGTTAAATCAATCTCTTGAAGAATTTTTCAGAGAAACATCTATTATCTTTTAAATAATTGCAAAGAAGAAATTAGGACTGTGTCATTTTTACCTATTCGACAGTTTCAGTGTCAAAAAACATTACTTTTTGTTGTCAGTTGCCGCTCACTAAAAATGGAACAAAAAAGAATAAAAATCATCTGTCCGTCGTAGCTGCTGGCAACATACCGAAAGACTCGCTAAACCATTTCCGTTTCCTCATACTTGCCGGAACACGTGGGCAACATTCCTTTTTCGCGGCGTTTTTTTAGATTATCGACCGCGTAAGACCTTGATTTCGTACCGATGAAAAATTGAAGGAGGTATGCTGCGCAGCATAGACGGCTAACGAATTCAAAGTCAGGGATACATCGTAATGATCGCTATGGTATAGCAGTAAAGGTTAATTTCTACTGTGCCACTTCTCCGGTGCCGGATCACAATCCTATCCTCGAAACGCATGCTCTGTTCTGAGATCAATAGCAATTTACAATAATAACAGTTTTGTTGGAACCTTGGCAGCAAACTTTTAATTCGTTAACACCGTGATCCAATGGCACACCATTAAATGGACCGATCATTGCGAAAGTAAACTTGTTTTTCGATAGAATAAAAAAAGGAATAATTTATATATTTCGAATATAAGAAGTCAGTTAATGTGTACACTTTTTGCTTATAGACAATTTATGATTTATTTTTTCAATTTTGATATGCTTTTCTTAATTGAAAATTGATAAGCGAGGAAATTATAAAATTATTTATTATAAAAATTGTGTGAGTTAATTTATAAGAGCTTAGGAAAGATAAATCGGTGTATAGAACTCTAATAAAAGTTATTCACACGGATTCCATAAACGAAAAATAAGGTAAAATTGCATTGAATTTCATTAAAGTTTGTATTTCATCGGATTTCGGAGGTTGATTGACAAAGTTATCGGTTTTTAGATATTAAAAGCTTGTTACGAGCACGTAGGAATTGCATTAAATTTCAATCAAATTTGTACTTTACAGAATGCACAGAATTCGTGAATAAAATTGTTTATTTTTAAATGTTAAACATTTTTCGACTGTCGGCAGGAAAAATCCATTAAATTCCATTCAAATCCATATTTCGTCTGATTTCGAAGATTTATTAAAACAATTGTTCGTTTTTAAATATTAAAAAT